GCATAATGTCCTCCAGGGTCACCCATTTTGAATAATATTGCATGAGTTCCTTGTTTTTCAATGCAGCATAGTATTCCATTGTGCGGATATACCACAGCTTCTCTACCCATTTGTTAGTTGATGGGCATTTAGGTTGTTTCCAAGGAGTTCAATCTTTTAGATGGGATTCTTCTATAACTTTCTGGTATAGCATTTTAGTGTATTTGATTATATTGCCAATGATCTATGTACATAATAACGCCAGTGTTCTATATACAAGTTTTGTATATAAGTTCTATATATAAGTTTTAAAAATGGGAATTATGCAGCTTAAAAATTGTATCTGCCCTTTCTCCTAAAACTTTTTATTAACTTCCTTGCATACCATTGAATCATCTTTCATAAAGTCATCTTTGATGGCTGCAGAAGAGCTATGTGTATGGATGTACTAAAGTTTATTGAACCAATTTCCTATAATAAGGACCCTTATTTACTTTTTTTCTATTTCAATTCCCTTTTAGCATTTAAAGTCCATAGCATGTGTGTCCAGCTTCTCTTTGACAGTATAACAAATACAACCTTCACACAATAATGAAGGCAGAGGTAGTACTGTTTTTCTTCTTCACCTTCATGTTATCTCTGAGTGGATTTCAAGGTAAGTTCCGTTTATAACAGACCCGCATATTGGTTATTTGTACTGTTGGATAGGAACATGAGTGTACATGCAAGGTGACCATTTCCTCCATTGTTATAGCCTCTTAAATTTTTCTAATCAGTTAATGAAAACAGAGAAGGGGCTGGGAATCAAACTGAAGGTTGCAAACTATAAAAAACCCTTCTGTCCATTCTGATTAAGGAACAAAATTTTTTCTAATGTTTTCCTTTACCAGAAATAAAATCCTTTGGAAGGTTAGTTTGGTTTTTTGTTTTGTTTTTTTAATGTGTTGATTCTGGTACTCAGCACTTGGCCGAAAGCATTGTCATCTTCTAAAACATGCATTCTTAATTACCTTCTGAAATATCAGAGGGGTTTAGATGAGCAGTTAGGAGAGTTTGAAATCACTGCCTTTTTCCCTCACCTTTTAACTCAGAGGTTCATTAATTTCATTGGTAAAATAGAACCGAAGATGGCCCTGTGTTTCTGTTAACATCATCTCATGTCTTGGTAACAGACCTTATTACATAGAATGAAGTGCTTGGGCTTTTCCAGTCTCTACACTAAACACTGAAGGAGCTACTATGGTCACTTCATTCCCAGAGTTTGTTTCTCTGTGTAATCAATTCTGTTACCTCCAGAGGCATATCAAAGATATGTTTCTGTTATTTAGTAGTCCAGTGATGTTTACTGAGGTCACAGCTGTGACTGGACACATTTGCACAGTCACTGTGCTTTGAAACCTTCCCACCTTTCTATGTCCTTTTCTTTCTCCCAGCACAAAACCACTTTCCTTAACTTTCTAAACAGAAATAAACTGACACTGTGAGAAGACAAGAAGGGCAAGATGGAAAGAGCCATGCAGGGCAAGGAAGACTATGCAACAATTCTCTCATCTTGGGTGGGCTTAGTTGAGAAAAGTTTGCTTTAATATCTGTAAGATAAGGTCCCTCCCAGCCCTAGTATCCCAGGAATTCACTATGCTTCAGGAATTGGTAGTAGAAACTGGATACTGGCTTTTAATAATCATGAAATAATTAGCTATGTTTGTTTTGTAAGAACCTCTAATATGATGACATCTGTTTATTTCTGAACTTCATAAACTTCTGAAATGGACAGCTTTTAAAAAAGTAATTCAGGAGAATTGGACATCCATATATATATATATATATATATCTCCACTGACTGACTCATGGTTATTCCAAGAGTGGTCCTAAGCCAAATTAAATGACTAATTTAATTTCCTTTTGGCTACTCCTGCCAATATTTTTCCTTGCTTGAGACTCATTAAAAATCCATGGCTATCAAGACAGAACTAACTCATACTGTCTCTCAAGCCAGTTTTCAGAGGAGGGAATTGTCCATTTCTCCCAGGGAGCTCTTGGTTGATTCAATTCACTAGAAAGACTTAGCCTTTGTGTTAGCAGTGTAGCACACAGACTGTACCACAAGACCTCTCGCTTGCTTGAGACTTCTTGTTATTGTGTAGTGATGAAGAGACTCATAGCTGAGCCTCCAGTGAGTTTTCAGAGGCTGTAAATCACACAGGAGGAGATTGTCCATATTTCTACCACCAAGCAGTGGTGGCAGTGCAACTGCTTAACTTTAAGCCACTGTTGTTGTTATAAGTGCTACTGAGTCAGGTATGACTTATCACCACCCTATGAACACATCTGAATCCTCCCTATGCTGTGCCTTCCTCATCAGCTCTGACACACAAGCCCATTGCTGCAATCACTGTGTCAATTCTTCTCTTGGGGGAGATCCTCCTCTCCTTCACTGACCCTCCATCTTTCCAAGCATGATGCCCTTTTCCAAGGAATAACCTTACCTAGAAATGTGCCCAAAGTATGAGAGAAGAAGCTTTGTTGTCTTTACTGGCTGTACTTTTCTCTTCAACATGTTTGTTCTTTTGGCAGTGCAAAGGAGAGTCATTGTTCTTCTCTAGTACCAGAACTCAAAGGTATCAATTCTTCTGTCATCTTTACTCATTGTCCAGCTCTCAGGCACATATCAGGTGATTGAGAAGACCTAACTCAGGCACATCTTAGTCTTCAAACTGACATCATTGCTTTTCAACATTTTGGAGAGGTCCTTGACAACCACTTCACCAAGGCAATATGTCTCCCGATTTCCTGACAGCCAGTACCAAGGGTGTTGATTGTTGATCCAAGTAGGATGAAATAATTGACATCTTCGGTTTTGTCTCCATGGTGATGACTTTTATTTTCTTGATGTTGAGATATAATCCATATCTAAGGCTATAGTTCTTGATCTTCTTCAGCAAGTGTTTCAAGTCCTCCTCACTTTCCATGAGCAAGGTTGTATCATCTGATGAGTCTTCCTTGCTTAGCATACAGATTAGTATGGAGAAAGGATACATCCTTGACACACACCCTTCCTGATTTTAAATTATGCAATGTTCCCTTGCTCTGATCGGATAATAGCTTCTTGATCTAGGTTTAGAGTTCTCCTGAGCACAATTAAGTGGGCTAGAATTCCCGTTCTTCCCAATGTTAGCCATAACTTGTAAAAGCCAGCACAGTGTCTGTATATTCCTAACAGTTTCCCTAAGTCAGGATTATCTTCTACTTGCCCCAAATATTTCCCAGCACAACCAAGATAAGTAAGTATACTCCATTCTTTTAATTTCTGCTTGTTCTAGTTAGCTGGATAAAGTAATTTTTTATTGTTATAATAAGTGTTAAAAATGAATGAGTTCCAGGAATAAAAATCAATAGGAGTCTTTTATATACATAACATACATCATTTCCAACACCATAGTAGGTTGGAGTGGCAGAAAAGGTGAGACTGTTTGATCAAGTGGGAAGCAAACCAATGTTTCTATGCTTTAGGCTGTGACCAATGCTTAGTTAAATCAGAACTGACCCATAGTTGACCTTCTAGTGGGTTTTTAGAGGCAGTAAATCACACCAGAGGAGATTGCCCATCTTGCTCCTATGGAACAGCCGGTCGATTCGAACTATGTGCCTTCTCTATGGCAGCACAGCTCCTTGCCCCTCTACCCTCCAAAGCATGACACCCCTCTCCAAGGACTGGTCCCTCCTTGCAACATTTCCAAAGTACGTCAGACGAAGCTTCAGAATCCTTACCTTCAAGGAGCAGCCTGGTCTAATACTCTCTAGGACTAACCTATTCATACTCTTAGCAGTCCATGGTATGTTCAACATTCTTTTCAAACACCACAGTTCAAAGGCATCTCCTTCTATCATCCCTAGTTACTTTCCAGCTTTCTGGTGCATAGTAAGTAATTGCAAAGACCAAGTCCTCTATCAGGTGCACCTTAGTCTCCAGACTGACATTGTCGCTCTTCAGTACTTTAGAGAAGTCTGTAACAGCAGACTTTCCCATCACAAAATGTCTTTTAATTTTCTGGCTGATGGTGCCAAGAGTATTGATTGTGGAGCCAATCAACTAAAGCTGTGAACAATCTCAGTTTCTTCACCATCTGTAATGATTGCAATCGGTTCAATGGTGAGAATCTTTGTTTTCTTGATATTGAGCTTCAATCCATATTGAAGGGTGCAGTACTTGACCTTCTGCAGGAAGCGCTTCAGGTTCTCCCAAGTTTCAGCAAGTAAGGTTATGTCTTTTGCATAACACAGGTAGTTGTTGAGTCTTCCTCCAATGCTGATGTTACACTCCTCCTTATAGACCCAGCCTCCCAGATGATGTTCTGCATATAAATTGAAAAGATATTGAGATAAGACACATCATAATTTCTACACTCTATCGAACCATCTTTCTTTGGAATGAGTGTAAATACAGATCTTTTCTAGGAGATTTCCCAGTTATCTTGATATTAATAAGTAAGTACCTCTAGCACTGTGTTAATTTGTTGAAACATTTCCATTAATATTATGCCAATGATCGGAGTCTTGTTTTTACCAATGATTTTAGTATAGATTGGACGTCTTTATTTGGTACTTGATCAGTATTCTTGATCAATTTCTATCCCTTGAAATGGTTGATCATCCAATTATTTTTGTACTGTGACTCTGTATTACTTCCATATTTTTTTGGAACTTCTTGTATCACTTAATATATTGCCCAAAGAATTCTTCAGTATTGCAACTCAAAACTTGAATTTATTCTTAAATTTTTTTATACTTGAGACATACCAAATGCGGTTTTCCATTTTGGCTTTCTAATTTAAGTTCTTTACACATTTCATTGTATTTTACTCTAACTGCCCTTTGAAATCCTCCATTCAGTTTTCCTACTTTATCACGGCTTCCTTTTGATTTAGCTTCTCTACATTTTAGAGGACATTTCCGTGTCTCTTTTGACATCTAGTTTGATATTGTTTCCATGTCTTTGTAGTGATTTTCTGATTTCTTAATGTATGATATGCTTGATGTCATCTCACAATTTATCAAATAATACATTATTAGTGTTAAATGAGTCAAATCTATTCTTGAGATTACCTCCAATTCGGATAGTGTATACTCAACATTGTATTTTGACTCTCTTGGACTCCTTTCTTTTCTTCAGATTTAACTTGGATTTGCCATTTCTTTATTGTTATAAACATCCTGCTATATGCTAAGGAAACAACTTTGCTTACAGAAAGTGAAGATGACTTGGAACACTTATTGATGAAGTTTTCAGTGTAGGTTATACTTGGATTTGAATATGAGCACTACTGTTTCACTATAAGCCCTTAGTCTTGTTTTGACTCATGATACCAAGCTTCTTTATCCTTTTATATACAGATATAGTTTATTTTATTTCTATGGAACAATTACAGCTTGCTCAGCTCCATAATAAACACTCTTGGAAGTTGTTGTTGTTGTTGTTGTTGTGTTCTGTCAAGTCACCTGCAAGTCAAAGAGATCCTGAGTACAACAGCCCTAAATCCTGCTCTGTCCTCTGCCAGTCTCACTGTTTCTGACACACTCATCCCCATTACCCCAGTTACTGAATCAATCCATCTCATTGAGGGTCTTCCTCTCTTGTGCTGTCCCTCCACTTTCCCAAATATGATGCCCCTCTCCAAGGACTGGTCCCTCTTTGCAACATGCCCGAAGTATGTCAGAGGAAGTAGCAGGCAAGAAATCAAAAGATGAATTGCATTGGGAAAATCTGTTGTCAGGGACCTCTCCAGAGTACTGAGAAGCAGTGATGTCAGTCTAGAGACTAAGGTGCACCTGATACAATCCATGGTCTTTGCAATTACTTGTTATATTGAGAGAGCTGGACAATGACTAAAGATGACAGAAGAAGAATCAATGCCTTCTAGTCAGCAGTGCAACTCCCAATAAACTATGCCACCAGGGCTCTAAGCAACTGCTAATCATCTTTATAACACCTCTATTCTTGATTTTAGATCCATATTTTTTAGATTTCTTCAGCAACGTGTATTCTATGAGAGAGCAAACAGTCATTGGAAGATTTAATGAAGATATAATTCTCCCGTGCTTGTTTGAAAGTGGGCCTGATATTATAATTCACTGGAAGGTTCAAGAATACAATGTTCACAGCTACTATAAAGACAGTGATCAACTAGAAAGACAAGATCCCAGATATGCAAACAGAACATCGCTCTTCCATAGTGAAATTCACAATGGGAATGCTTCTCTGCTTCTTAGAAGATTAAGCCTTCAAGATGAAGGAATTTATATCTGCTATGTGGGAACAGCACTTAATAGCGCTCCAAATAAAGTGGTGCTAAAAGTAGGAGGTAGGGGTGTGTGTGTATGTAAAGTTTTTATAAAAGATAAAAATAGCATCCTTCATTATTATTCCAACATGAGTTATCTTTTCCTTCAGCTAATTATGCTATTGCTTCCTCTCTGTCAATATGTATAGATCTATCTTATTCTCATTCTTTTTTAATGACAAGTATTTTATAGTAAAGTCATGCAATAATTGGCACAACTATCTCCATACTGGTGGATATTCAAATATTTCCAGTAACTTAAATTAAAGTAATGTTTTGAATCAGAATCAACAGATTTGCTTTTTGTTTTATTTTGTTGGTTGTAATAAGCTTTTATAGATTTAGGACTAGATGATTTGAAAGAAAAGTTCAAGAGGTAAGATTTTTAATGTTATTGCCACCAACAGTATGAGTGTATCCATTTTCTTAATTTGGACAGTATGATCTTATCAATACTCAAAATTATCACAAATATGACGGCTGTTCAAATGCTGAATTCTTGATTTAAATACTATTTTTATGTTTTATAAATGATGAGTATTTTCCTATATTATACTTTCCTCTTTTCTAGTTCTTTGTTCTATTTTTGCCTTTTTCTAATGAGTAGTTTTATTCCACATCTGTTCCTTCTTCCTCTGTCCTATTTTGCTGTTTCAGATTTTGACTCAGAAATCCAGGTTCATTTGAATTATTTGTCAACAAAGAGCCAAGTAGTCTCTGAGTAAGCAACTGGGGAATTAGGAGATCTTCATGAGCTCTAGTTCACAGAATTGGGCACATTTATTTGTTTGTTAAGTGAGTCTATTCAATGCCTTTCTCCACTGTGTTTCTAGAGAGTTGTGATTGCTAGCTGTTATGTATATAATTGTGCTCTTTTCTCCCTTCTAAATAAATAACTATACTGTATCTTTAGTTTCTACAGTATTTTTGTTTTCCTTCAAATGAATGCTGTTTTGCTTATAAAGTTGTTTTTCTAATCATAAAATATATGAATATTTATCTCCATATAAGTGCACATGACAAAAAACCAAACAAACAGATAATAAACATGCTGCATAGAGATGACCTAGGAAGAAGCTCATGTTGCCACTTCTTCATTTGTCCTTCTTTCTCCCAAATAGCTTTCTTCATGCCTCAGCTGAAATATGAAAGGGAGCAAACAAGCATGTTTTTGACCTGCTGTGTGTTAACGGCTTATCCTCGTCCCACTATCACATGGCATATGGACAATACCATTATCTCTGAAAGCATTATAGAAGAAATGGAGCCTTTGTCTCAATTTTCTATCAAAAGTACACTAACTAATACATTTTCAAATACATCTTATGAATGTGTCATTAAAAATTCACTGCTGCAGCAAACTTGGACGGGGCGATGGACAATGAAAAGTAGGTTCTTCATGCTTTCTCTATGGATAAATTCTATGTTAGATGTTGGGGAGGATTAGGGTTTGATTTATAAGGGGGAGAAAATAACTAGAAACAAAAGAAAATGCTTTCTCTTTAGTCAAGATACTAAGACTAGAATCCCACAGTTAAGTCTTACTATGTATATTGACTTAAATATTTTTTTAACTTCTTAGGTTTAGTTTCACACTAATAAAATGAAAGTTGTTGTATATCTTAGAGTTGGAACAGACCCATAGAAGACCCTCTGGTGGGTTTTCAGAGGCTGTTAATTGCATGGGAAGAGATCTGCCTATCCTTCTCCTGTGGAGCAGCTGGTGGATTCAAACCATGTTTCTTCAGGATTGTAGCGCAGCTTCTTGGCACTAGACCACCAGAGCTGCTTCTTGTTTAGTAGGTGCTTATGAATCAAGTGAAAATATCTCATTTTTAAAATGGAAAGTAACAAAACAAACCATGCATTTCTGCATAAGATTCATCTTTGCATTGAAATTTCCTGCCTTTAGCACTGTTAAAAGAAATCAGAGGGATAGGAAAGAGAGCATGATTTTTAGACCTTAATATTCAATTTTTCTCAAGCTTAAAACTAACCAAGAATTTTCCCGTTATTATTGTAATTAGCAAAGCAGTTGCTATGGAATCAAGTTCAATGTATGTGGTTCTAAGCATTTAAGAGTAGAAGTATGTTCCATTGGGTTTTCAATGGATTCATTTTGGGGAGGATTGGGAAATAGACACCAGGCCTTTCATGTGGGGTACTTCTGAGTGAACATAAACCTCCAATCTTTCAGTTACCTTTTAAATCATTCAGGAACAATAATGATTCTATGATAGAAGTCTTGCCTTCCATGATGGAGACCCAAGTTAGAGTCCTGACCAAATCATTTCATATAAAACCACGACCCATCTGTGTGGCCATGATGATGAACAGATTTCAAAGGAGTTTCCAGACTTTGAAGGATTAAGGGGGAAAGTTCTAGTTATTTACTTGTAAAAGGAAGGCAAATATCTACGGCTATAACACGAATAAATCCCCAAGGCATCATAGGATGATGCAAGCCTGAGAAGTATCACCATGAGTCAAGGTCTGAATTGCAACAGTTAATAATAGTCAAAACTCCCATGGTGATTGATATTATTGCTTCTCTTTATTTAACCCAATATTCTATTATTCAACACTTTTGTCACAGAATGTCCAAGTTTTGAAATGTTTTCCTCTCACATATAAACCCAAAATCTAATGTTTCAGATTTCATTAGAAGCAAACCAATTTTTCTAGAAATGTCTTGGAAATTATCACAGAGCAAACCAAAACAACCATGGAAATTGAGAGTGAAAGGCATTAGCACTCAATGTTCACTGGCTACTTTTCAGCAGCCAGGCAGTATCAAAATGGAAGAAAGAGCTGGAAATGTTAAACTAGAGGTATTTCCTTTGCAAAACCATAACTTTTCATGTTTGTTCAAATTGAGTGTCCTGAAGTACCAGTAGTAGTGCTTTAGGCTCAATACTGCTTTTTCTTGTGACTCTAATAAGTGCCAAATTTTGTCTTCCCCAGACTATGAACTTAAGAATTTGAACCCTTACTCATCTCTGGATTCATAGTATCCAACACAAACACAAAACCAAACTGAGAGGGCAACATAAAAGGGTGATGATTCGTTCTGTGCACTGTAGTTAGTAGACACATGTGGGTTTGTCAAGAAGGCAGGTTTAAGAAAGTTACAGAAAAGGCAGAGTGTTAAGATTAATAGATTCTAGGAAAAGACAAGCTAACAGGTACAGTAAGTTCAAAACCAAAGTGGAGAGAACCCAGAGTGGGAATGAAGCTGGAACATCTGAGATGGATCTGGAGAGGGAGGCAAAAACCAGGTCAGAGGCCTTCTACATGTTGCTAAGTTTAAACTGGATCCTCATAACAGTATGGAGCCAAGAAAGATTTGAGGTGTCAGAGAAATACTGGATTTACTTTCTTTGATGGTATTGTCCAGCAGGTTGTCTAGAGGAAAGTTAAATCAAGACCCCCGCAGACCAACCCATTGGTAGCCAATAATGGGCAGTCTGTGGAATTGCAGGACAGGAAGGGCAAAGGTCAAGCTGGATCTAAAGGGGCAAACTAAGACCATCTAGCAGATTCTCTGTTCCATAAGAACTCTATTCACTGGGCTGTGAAAATTGCCTTTCCAGGAAGACTGACAAATATAAATTACCATGACCGCTAGGGAGTAAATAAAATAACGAGAGGGAAGTCTACAAAGAACTAGCATGTGAACAGTCACTAGACAACCACTACTCAGTTAAAATCACCACTCCTTAAGCAGTTTGTTGTGTTGTGGTAGTGTGTGTGTTGCTATAAGGCTGAAAGCTTTGCCACTAATATTCCAAATACCATTACAGTCACTCACAGCAGATAAGTTTTAGCAGCATGCAGCATGGCAGACTGCAAAATCATAGGCAATCTCCTTCCACAAAATAGTCAGTGAAAACCTTATGGATAAAAACAGGATATTGTCTAGAATTGAACTAGATGGAGGCTCTAAATTGGAAAGTACTAAAAATATAATGTAGTACAACAAGGAACTCAAATGTACCATGAGGAAAACATGATTGGGAACATTTCATTCTGTTATACTAAAGACTGCCATGAGTTATAGCCAGCCCAACAAGAACAACAACAACTTGATTTAAAAGGCTAATGAATGATAGCAATGCTATTGAATTGTTACTGTCAAGCTGTAGGAGTTAAAACCCAGGTACATCACCCTCCCAGCTGCTCTAGACTTAAAACCACTTTGGAGTATATGCCTACATTTATTTGGCAGCAAAATGGAATATACTGGTTGTAAGGCTTTCCTTTTCATTTCCTTAATGGTGCAAATGATTAGGTGCTTGAAGATAGCCAACAAATTGTCTCTTCAAACTCATAAAAAAAAAAATTCAGAATATCAACTTGGTGATGGCCTTCTGAAAAGCTATAGCTTTGGAAACTGTGGAGCAGTTCCATATTGTATGGGTGCATCAGTGACAATAAACAATAAGGCTTTTCTTTTAACAGAGTCTACAGTAAAGTAAACTGCTTTTCAAAAAAATGTTCCCAAAGAAATCTATAGTATAGTCTTCAATCCCTGTTTCCTAAATTTAACTTGGAAAATTTTCTTTTCATTGACATTTTCTTCTTTATCTTGTTAGATCAGCTTCATAAAATGTCTCGTGAAAACATTTCCCTCTCATGTCCACTGTCCAACAATTTTTCTCTACTAAATCAAGATTTCATCGTCACTTGGTCCAAAATAAAAAACGGAACTTCCTCAGTGCTGGCTTACTTTTTGAGCTCTTCACAAAACTCCAGTATTAGTGAATCTCGATTCTTGTGGAACAAACAGCTGATGAACCAGAATGACTTCTCTTCAACTTTGATAAATCTCGATCTTTCAGACAGTGCAGAATATTTATGCAATATTTCTTCAAGCAAATATACTTCACTTACAGTACACATACTGGATGTAGGTACGTTTTGGGGTTAGTTGATGGGTTTTGACTTTAACAATAGAGTTTAATGAACATCCAGTGTGTATATTTTACTAGCATTTTAAGACTACCTCAGATTAGTGCTTCTAAAAATGTAATTTTTTTCAGAGTTATTCTGGTCAAGATAGTAAAAATCCTTCCCTCTTTCAACCACTAAAAAGTGCTGTATTGCAAAATAATTTATTCCAGAGAATTTCCTTCTTAGAATTATAGAGCTTTAGACATAAGGTGGAAACATGTGATCTGTTATACTGTTGTTATTATGTGGTGTTGAGTCTGAATCCATTCATAACTGACCCTTCAATGGGAGTTCAGAAGCTGTAAATCACATGGGCGTAGACTGTTGATCTTTCTCCTTTGGAACAGGTGGTGCACTTGAACTGTGTGCCTTTGGTTTGGGAGCACAACTTTTTACAGCTAGTTCAGCAGAGTTCTTTAACTCCTACTCACCGCTATGTCCAATACATGCCTCGGGATGTATCGGGCACGGTATGAGTGGGAATTGAGGCTGTAGGCACAGCTATTCATTGTTGCTGGGTTGACTCCAACTCATTCTCACTTCATAAGTGCAGAATGGAGATGCTCTAAACAGTTTTCAAGGTTGTGACCATTAAAAGACAGCTGGCCATACCTATCATCTGAGTTTCATCTGGATGGGTTTCACACTGTCTATCCTTTGATTAATCATTAAATAACCATCTGTGGCACCAAGAGACTCCTGTAATTGACTAAAACCCACCCATGACTCAGTTCCTATGCATAGTGATCCTCCTCTGAGTTTCTGATGCTGTAAAGGCTACAGAACAAAGCCTCAAGGGGTTTGTGAAAACAGACACTATATAACATTCAAAGCACTAACAGTACTCCTGATTCAGCGAATTTTTTTTAATCCCTGTTGGTTATCAACTCCCAAAATTCACTACCTAAAATATTCTTAGTCCTCTAACGGTGTTGCTCTTGTTATGTACTCTTAAGTAAATCACTTAAGAAGAGATTGTCCATCTTTCTCTTGGGGAGCAGCTGGTTGAACCAAAACATGTGCCTATGGGTTGGCAGTGCATCTCCTTACCACTAGGCTACCAGAAATCCATTAAATGTGTGCTTATAAAGGCAACTTTCTAGAAAATGTGATGGCTGAACCGCTAACCTGGAGCCATCAATTTTATATCACAGAAGGCAATGCATGGCAGTAACCCCTTTAATAAAGATATTCAAATAAGTGGAGTGTTTAATGTGTTTTAGAACTACTTCTGTCATTCTAGTTGTAGATATTAGGAGGGATGACAGATTTTGAGGTTCAGTGATTGTTGTGGGATTTGGGGTTAGAACACACAGCTGCCTTAAGGTCAATGTGGTCCTGAAATAGAAATTTCTAGATACCCATCAGTAACATTCTCTTCACAGAGCTGCCACTTAAAGAGTATAGAACTAAACACTTGGAATAAATGTTATATTTTTCCCAAAATAAGAGCATCAGACTTATATAACTCAGTAAGCGAGCTTTCTATCTTTACCAATCTTGCCTCATATTGGATTCATTTTTGTAACATAGAAAAATAATCAAGAAGAAATGATATAAAGACCATATATGGCCATTTTCCTAACTTTAGATATAATTTTCAGTTCACACCAAGAAAACATTAGGACCATTTCATCTCTGACCAAGTAAAGCAAATCTTGGAATCTATTTCCAAGTAAACTTTAGCCTGTTGGGGCCTCGGAGGGCCTGTCCACACCCAGCCTCAGGAAGAGATCAGGGAGGGGCAGGAGCAGAGGGCAAAAGTCCTGCTATTCCGGACATCACTTGTTCAAGGACAACGGGGATTTTCTGCTCTGAATTACAATTTTCTACTTGCTGCTTTGCCTAAGAGAGCCCACAGTCTTTCAAAGAAGGCCTAGATGGTGGGATTCGGGGGGGGGGGCAGGGAAATAGGTGGGGGAGGTCTCAGAGTCCTAGATCTGCCTAAAAACATTGCAGTAAATTGAATGGAATGAAATAATTCTTGCTAAATTTTGCTACTGATGCAATTGTGACCTTGGGCAGATACTGCTACAAATGAAGAATCTACAAGTCACAGATAAAATGAGTAAAAAAAAAAAATTGCAAGTTTTTCACCCTACACAGGGAGCAAAGGATGTGAAAAACTTAAGAAAGCCACCTTGCAAAAAGTATGTGCAAAGGTTAGTGCTTTAGTGGTTGTAAAGTATCATTTACTTGATTAGGAGTATGCTCATTAAAACTGCTATCTACTATATAGAAAATGTAACCCAAAATATTTCCTCCCTCAATTGAACTTTGTACCCTGGAGCTTGCTTCCAACTATTCCATTGCATAGAATATAAGTTGTGTTTTCACTTGGTAACCTAAAGTCTTTCCATGTTTCTACCTTTTTGAGTCCCCCCTTCGTTTACTAGGGAGGGGAAGACCCTCTATGAGATGGATTGACTCGGTGACTGGGGTAATTGGGATGGGTGTGTCAGAGGCAGTGCGGTTGGCGCAGGATAGAGCAGGGTTTAGGGCTGTTGTGCATAGGGTCGCTATGAGTCGCAAACGACTCGACGGCACATAACAACAACAACAACATCCCCAACTTAGTTGTTGGAGAAACTTCAAATTCCAAGTGCCTCATATCCTAGTCATAACCTGTCATTTTCAGCTCCTCTCATCACCTTTAACCACTGTTTCTCTGGGACACTGTCCAAGCTAGATGTGTCCACACAGAATGCTGGGTGTGGCTAGTTTATAGTCACAATTATTCCTCTACTTTTTTTTAAAAAAAGTATTCATTTTCTTTTCATGACACACACACATAGAAAACCTTCAAAGCATAATATACTCCTTGTCTTTCAAGTTTTCCAATTCTTTACTTTCCTACCTCTCTACCTAGAATTGCAAATTAGTTAACAATATAGAACCTACAAGCCTCCCACACTAGGGACCATGAGACTGGAAGACATTTCTGTTCCAATCCAACTCTCCCCGCAGACTGGGCTGTTGACCTTACCTTTAATGGGCCTTTTCATTATGCAAAGTGCTTTCACTAATTAATTCTGTGTCCCAACTGAAATGTAGGGATAATTGGTTTTAAAAATAATAAACAATACTACACATTCACTCCCACACTTAACTCTTCTTTTCTTTCTTTGGTGTTATTTTTCCCCCCACTCTACAGACTTGTTTGTTTGTTTGTTTGTTTTATCTAGGACAAAGTCAAGAAAATGGAAACACAAGCATTGGGATAATTGTGCCGATTCTGATGTTTTTGGTGGTTTTGGTGGTTTTGGCAGTACTGTGGTGCAAAATCCCTAAATTAAGAATTTACTGCAATACCAAAGGTAATATTCTGTGGAGAATTTGGGCTATCTGGGTGTTTATGTACAAGGATACTAAGGGTAACTGGTAGCACACAGTTAAACTGATGCTGGGCACAAACTCTCTGCCGTGGTGTAGGTTCTGATTCTCAGTGACCGTCTATCAATATCTGAGGCTGTCAATCATTAGGGGCGCAGACTGCTTCCCTTTCCTCCACAGACCACCCGGTGGATGTGCACCACCTTGCAGTTAACAGCACACCACCACCAATAACGGACTGCACCACCAGGGCTCTTTCGGGCATGCAAAGGAATCGAGGGGTTGTTTGTTTTTTAGTTATTCACAAATTCTCAAAAACCTTTTGAAATGACTACGTGTCCACGTAACTAATCTGCCTGTGTAAGGAACTCTAGTAGCCTAGTCCATAATAGTCCTTGGCACTGTTGACCAATAAGATTCTGGCCTTTCTACTCACTAGCCACTCCGGAGACAAATGTGGAAAATATCCTCCCATTAACATTATAGCCTTTGAAACTTGACAGAGACCTCATAGGAGTGAGAAGCTTCTCTATGACAATGACCTTGAGTTTGAGTTGTAGTTGTTGAGTTACCATCTAGTTAGAACGGATGCGTAGCTGACCCTACAGTGTGTTTTCAAAGGCACTTAATCACATAGGAGAAGACTGCTCATCCTTCTCTGGCGAAGCAGCTCTTTGATTTGAACTAAATGCCTTAGGGATCACAGTGAAGTTTCTTACCACTAGACCACAAAATCACTGTATTGCTTAGGTCCACTTGAAGGTATTTGCTCTGAATAAATGGTTGGGATATACCATGCCTATATATGCAACACAGTCATTGTAACACATCATCATTGTTTCCAGTTTAAATAAAAAGGTGGTTGTTGTTATGTGTCGTCGAGTCGCTTGTGACTCATAGCAACCCTATGTAAAACAGCCCTAAACCCTACTCTGTCTTGTGCCAATCTCACTGTCTCTGACACACCCATCCCGATTACCCCAGGCACTGAATCAATCCACCTCATAGAGGGTCTTCTCCTCCTGTGCTGTCCCTCCACCCTCCCAAGCATGACATCCCTCTTCAAGGACTGGTCCCTACTTGCAACATGTCCAAAGTATTCAGATGAAACCCTAGAATCCTTGCCTCCAAGGAGTAGCCTGGTTTAACCCTCTCTAGGATGAACCTGTTCAATTTCTTAGCAGTCCATGGTACATTCAATAATCTTCTCCAGCACCACAGCTCAAAGGCATCAATTCTCCTTCTATCCTCCCAAGTCATTGTCCAACTCTCTGACACATAGCAAGTGATTGCAAAGACCATGGCCTGTATCGGGCACACCTTAGTCTCCACAGTGACATCATTGCTCTTCAGTACCCTGGAGAGGTCTCTTAAAGCAGACTTTCCCATTGTAATATGTCTTTTAATTTCCTGGCTGCTAGTGCCAAGAGTGTTGACTGTACTCAGTGTAATGAAGGGCAATGCACTTTGTGCAGTGCCAAAGGCATAGTAGGTTCAGAGCAAGAAATAATACAGCACAGGAAGCCCCAGTGACTTAAGAAAGAGGTAGTGCTTGATACTCTAATTATTCCAAAAGTGACCATTTTTTAAGCTTTGGCTTGTTTCTTCATGGTTATTTTTGAAAGCAGAATGATTTGAAGAAGA